GTTGCTCCTGTCTTAGCCTTTTAAGTTCCCCATCCTGGTGCAAATTCTTAAAAATAATAATCACTGTTAGTCTCAGTCACATGCAAACTCCCTCGTTTTGTGAAAAAACCTTCCAATTCTAGGAAAACACAGTACAGTACACTTGGTCAAGACATTACTTTTCTGCTGAGAGTCGATAGTAAGTTAAGAAGACTTAGACTTCAGTCAACCTCATCAAATTTGTCCATGTACCGGTACCTGTTCTTCCAAAGTTTGAACTTTATGCTTGAAAGTGTTCAGTTGTTGCCTCGGCTCATCACTTCCTGTCAATATTTCCTGAAATATGCAAATATAGAAATGTGCAAGTAGATTTTTTATGTGCTTTTATTTGCCCCAGCTCACTCAACCTCTCATATCTTAATCTGGTATTCATTCACTTGTTGACATGAAACAAAAACAGCCCCTTTAAAGGTAACAACTATTTTTAAGCAATCACCCACAAACATACTTTGTAATTTAATACTTGCACTCATGTCACCAAACACAGTGTTTAGGGGTGACTAACATGGTTTTGTAGTCAAGTATGTGACTCGGCAAAAAAAAATTGCCCGTTGATCAGAATTTATAGTATGATTTTGACAGAAAAGGAATTTTGCTACAAGGAAAAGTTAAAATATTTGGGGCAAACTGTTTTACTACAAGAGGGGGGGTCAGGGTTAATTCACAAAAGTAGTAAGGGGAGAAACCTCCATAAACCATCTGATATGTCCAAGGAAGTTAATAAGACCCTTATGAGAAAAATTGAAACAATTGTTTCACAGCACATACAGGAAACAAACAAAACATTTAGAAAGCACAAAATTAAATCAGTTTAAGAACTGGCGTCGTAAAATAACCATCCTAATTAGAAAAACTGACAAACACTTAAACAACCTTGATTCATCATCTGCATATACTGAATCTTTATTGTTTAGTCCCTTACTTTATTGTCCAACTGACCATGGCCTTGGACTTTCATAAAAGCATCCGAAAATGCAGAAAGTTGCCTCCTTATGTTATGGATTGTCACATCTTGGTTTCTAAGCTACAAATGAAAGAAACAATCCAAACAAAAAAATTCTCACTTTATTCATGTCTCTATTAAAAAATAGTAGAACATGGTAATTATTTGTATGAGTACGTATACTCTTTCAAAACTGAGGTAGTATAAACCCCAGCCCGAGTGAGTATCTAACATGAATTACAATACCTCAAATTTCA